TACACAGTGTGAACGAAACAAAATGTAAACAAAACCTGGCATTTGCGCTACATGTCTGTCCAACCGTAATTCACCTCTTTCATATTAAATGCACCCACCCTTATTATATATCATTTTATTCAGGGAAACAGGGCTTTCATTTAATATCAAATATTTAGCTATGAAACATAATTTAATATAAGAAAAAATGGGAGAAAATAAGATTTTTTGATTTTTAGTTCTACATGACATTTTAACGGTCAGTGTCATATGCTGTTTGCTTTTACTGCAATAAAATACACATATTTGTATTCAACAAAAGTCTCCGTGTAAACAGGTACCCTATGTACAGGTTTTATGGTTTGGGAAGTTACAGGGTCAAATATATACGTTACATTTGAAATTGGGAAATTACGCCAGATTGGTTACGTTGCCTTTGAGACTGTATAGTAGTCCAGGAATGAAATTTACACCCATAATGGCATACCATTTGCAATAGTAGACAACCCAAGGTATTGCAAACGGGGTATGTCCAGTCTTTTTTAGTAGCCATTTGGTCACAAACACTGGCCAAAGTTAGCGTTAGTATCTGTTTGTGTGAAAATGCAAAAAATGCCAATTTTGGCCAGTGTTTGTGACTAAGTGGCTACTAAAAAAGACTGGACATACCCTGTTTGCAATACCTTGGGTTGTCTACTATTGCAAATGGTATGCCATCATAGGGGTAATTTTCATTCTTGGGCTACCATAGGGTCTCAAAGGCAGCGTAACCAATCTGGCGAATTTTAATGTGAAAAAAATTAAACGCAAGCCTTATATTTGACGCTGTAACTTTGAAAACACCATAAAACCTGTTCATGAGGGGTACTGTTGTACTCGGGAGACTTCGCTGAACACAAATATTTGTGTTTCAAAACAGTAAAAAGTATTGCAGCAATAATATCGTCCGTGTAAGTGCTGTTTGTGCGTGAAAAATGCAAAAACTTCACTTTTACTGGCGATATCATCGTTGTAATACATTTTACTGTTTTGAAACACTAATATTTGTGTTCAGCGAAGTCTCCCGAGTAAAACAGTACCCCCAATTTACAGGTTTTATGGTGTCTTGGAAAGTTATAGGGTTAAATATAGTGCTAGCAAATTAAATTCCCTATACAGGTCCCGCTAATTGTAATTAATTAGGATACCTAATTATGTAAAAATATTACATAAATATATGTGTAGAATTAATATATGTATATATATACATATGTGTATATATACATATATATATATATATATATAATTTTTTTAAATATTTTTATTTATATATAGGTGTATATATTTAGTGATATATATGTATATATTTATGTATATAGATATATATATTATTTCGTTCTACGTGTATTTTGATATAAATATATATATATTAATATCACAATACAGTTAAAACGAAATAACAAACATCTATATATTTTTTTATTATTTATTTTTAATTATTTTTTTAATTTTATTTTTTTTACGTATTTACATTTTTTTATATTATATATAAATATATATATATATAACAATAATTATATATATATATTTAATCAGTATTAGTCTACGTGTAATTTGATAGTAATATATATATAAATAATTATATATATTAATATTTAAATACACTTCGTGTATGTGTAAATGTGTGTGTGTATGTGTATATATATACTTAGATCATATATATATATAATATATATGATCTAAGTATATTTTATATTTAACTGTAATTTTTTTTTTTTTTTACTAATATTTTATTTATTTTTACAGGACAGGGGGCAGAGACAGTGTCAGCCAGTGATTTTACATCACTGGCTGACATATAGGATCAGTGATCACAGTGACTGCCTGTCACTGTGATCACCTCCTGCAGATTGGGTAATTGGCCACAGGGGGGAGTGCCTGGGTGGTACAAGCACTCCCCCCTTCCAATCTGCAGGGGGATCTGTGTGCCAGTTACATGTGTCAGTCAATAGGCTGACACATGTAACACTGATCGCAGTGACAGGCTGTCACTGCGATCAGAGCGCTCTGAGATCGTAGTGACAGCCTGTCACTGCGATCTCAGAGCTAGCAGATCGCGGTCACTGACCCCAGGGGGACTGCCTGGGGGGCCAGGTAAGTCCCCCGACCGCGATCTGCACGGGGAGAGCCGCTGGCCACGTGTGTCAGCCGATTTGAAATCGGCTGACACACGTTAAAAACTGATCGCAGTGACAGCCTGTCACTGCGATCAGTGACTGCAGATCGCGGTCACCGGCCACAGGGGGGGTTGCCTGGGGGGCCGGGCATCCCCCCCGACCGCGATCTGCAGCGGGCGAATAGCGCCGGCCACGTGGGCGGCCATTAAAGTGAGGGCGTACTATTACGCCCGCCGGCGTTTAGAGCCGGCTCCTGCAGGGCGTAATAGTACGCCCTGCGGATTTAAGGGGTTAAGTAAATATGGACACTGCTTATGGACATCGAGTTGCCAGTACAATGCCCTCTAACAAAATGGCTGAATTGACTGATGGATCGAATTATTAACTCTAATTAGAGGAAGAGACTTTGGAATTTGCCATTCAAGAGGAAGCAATCACTATACAATATAGTGCATGATTGGGTTTGAGGATTCCGAAAGTGATGTCATCTACACTCGACACAAATGGACGTGTGGATGCCATGGAGAGGAGGATAACATACAATGTGAAATAGGGGCTTTTCAGATTCCCGGAAGTGACGTCACGCGCGCGATCATACGTGCGAGCGTGATGACGTCACTAATATGGGACAAAGTTTCTGACATTGCAGCTCTTATGCTGCTAAGTAAAAACGTTCATGATTGGCTGAAAATCGATCTCCTTCCTCCAATCAGGACGAGAGGTGAGGATTTTAATCAGGACTGTGCAGGATAGTAGTTACCAATTGAGAAAGCCGAGAGAGGTCGGTGAAACGCGTTTTGGACAAGATACCAGTGTAATGTATGAATTTTATTGATGTTTTTAATGTTTATGCAATAAATTCAATTTTTAATACATACACTTGGGACATCTTCTATCCTGCTAAAAGAGGGCAAGAGTCATCCCTTAAATAGGACTCATAAGCTGTCATACTCAGAGCCAGGTTACAGGCTCTGTTCCAGGTGAGAAGCAACCTTCACCTTTTTGTTTATATTTGTCATTTTAATCATAAGGATTTCAACACCAGGGCGATTTTCCCCTGTTTTATTCTCTGTTTTCTTTGAGGAAACTTATTGTGATTGCTACAAGGACTACCCAGACACCTTACAAACCCTAAAGTAATATTGGGGAGTAAGTGAAAATTGCTGAGCGCTACACACCTTTTTCACTATTGCATGCTTGTGTGTATATAGTGTATTTATTTAAATAAAATACTAGACCCTGAACAAGCTGTCCAAAACAAATATAACAGTACAGACTAGTAGAAGTTAATCACCCCAGACTAGATACACCAGAGAGGGAGAGATACGGGAGCTCACCAGGGCCCAGACTGGCAGACAGGGAGACACACGAGGTAGAAGCACAGAGCCAGGAGGACGGAAGGTCAGAAAATGGCCGCCGCCAGTTTCGCAAGATTCGTGGCAAAGAATCCCGTGAACGTGTCCAATTTGCGAACCGAACATTTGGCGAAGCAGGACGAATTCGTGGAAACAAACTAACGAACAGTCAGTATACTGTAAAACAGTCGAACAAAAAACATTCACCACAAAACAGTCGAACGGTACTATATGCTGGTCAAACTAACGGACGGTACAGATTCATGATGTGTTTAGCTGAAAGGGCTTAACACGAAAATAGCCGAACAGTGAGGAAACAGGCGCAAAAGAGCATCAGTCAGGGAGAAGGGGGGAGACCCAAAAAGCAGAAAATAAGGCAAAATAAGGAGAGAATAAAAGAAATGAAAATAGGAGTAACAAAGTAAAGCTCGAAAGAGGAGAGGTACATGTAATAATTCCTCAAAGGAAGGTCTGGAACCCTGGGCTCAAAGGTAATATATAAACTTCATATGATACAAAATCAGACGTAATAAACAGCAAAAAATCAATTTTTACTATAAGAAATAACAATATAATAAGAAATTATAAAATAATCAAAACAGTTATAGGTAAGAGTACATTTTGTTGTACTTATCTTGTGTGGAGCAGCAAAGAAAAGAGGAAATATGTTGGGAGGTGCTGACTATTATACTGGGACTTGGTATGGGAGTGGTTTATCACTATGGATACCATTTTTCCATGTTTGTATTCTTTGCTGCTATTGGTAAAGAAAGGGTAAAGCAATATGAGCCTCTGTGTCTTGAAATAAAAGACTATGGGGCTGTTTATTTTTGCATGACAAAACCCACCACTAATTATATTATCTAATGATAAAACACTTCGATTATTTGCAGCGTTTTGCCACCCCTCATATGTGACTACTTTATTCAGATCACATACCAATCTATGCATGTAGTGGAACTATAAGGGACACTCCAAGCTTCCATATGTTTGGTGCAAAATGTACGTTATTTATGTAGATTTTTTTTATATGTAGATTTTTTTTTGCAGTTGTTTTCCTAGTGAATAAACACCTAAAAATTTACCAAGAGGATTACACTATGACCGACTCTTGCTTTAAATTATACCCTGTGACTCTTTCCACCATTACTAGTCATGTTTGTAGTGTTTGTTTACATAAATACCAACAATATAGAAATAAAAATGGTTGAATAAATATTTAGAAATAGAACATTATGTATATGTATTTGTTAATCTATACAGCATAATGCATAGATAAAAGTGACACCTTCTGTAATTGTTCCAGGCCAAACCCAAAAGCTAAACTAAGTGGTGTGGGAATCTTGTTTTTCATTAACCTCAAAGCTGTCCATTTCATTTAGAAATAAAAAGTATTAAAATGTTTGCAGTGCCGAAGGAACAAAAACATTAAACATCTGACATACATAGGGTAAATCTGAATTGCAGTGCCTTAGCACAAGAAATGAAATAAATGACAAACTCTGACAGGTATGCTATAGAAAAGACTATAGTTTATTTCTCTAAAGAAGAAAACAATGCTATTAATTGGACATAATACTTAGGAAGGGAGGTATTGAATACAAAGGAAGTGGAGAAATCAAATACAAGGTCATCATAATTTGTCTCTGTGGTCACTGAGGAAAATGATATTATCTGCAAGGAAAAAAATTAAGAATATCATTCTCAAGGAACAAACATCCACACAATAATTGTTTGACAAGAGTGATACAAGTCATTGTTTGATCTGTCTGAATGTTGCCGTACTTATTAATTTAGCACATGCTAATATTTAAGATTGCTGATCGGAATATTAAAAAAAAATCAACCTATTCTTAATACTAATTTTATAGCAGTGATTATAGTACATTTTACATTTTCATGCTACTAAAAACATTGGTTATTTTTTACCCTATTAAAAAAAATAAAAATAATGATTAACCCTAATATTTAAATAGGTTTAATTATAACCCTTACCAATAAAATATGTCTTTCTAAGACTTTTTCTTCACACATATTGTACCTTAAAGGGAAACTATTGTGGGAAAAATAACCCTCTATTTTAATACACTAGAAAGATGATGCATAAAAACCAAAACAACCTAGTGTTATAGTAACACTAAAATGTTACTGCCATAAAATTAGTAATTTCATCTCCATTATAAATCTACACGTTTTAGAAAGTCAAAGGACACAAGTTATATAGAACATTATCACTATTGTTTCCCTCCATTGTATGTAAGGTATCAGGATATGGTTGGCTCAACAACATCCAATAAAATCAATAAGTAAATAGATTCAAACTGTATGAAATGGAGAGAGCTGCAACCACTTAAACAAACAATGACAGGTTATGTCCTAAAAGAATAAAAAGCATGCAATACTTAGTAATAAGTAACTATGCCAAACTGAGTTATTCCACACCACATAAAGCTGCATTTTAATTGGAAATTTACAGATAAAACTTTCATCAAAGTTTAACTGTGAGTTCTTCTCATAATGCTTCGTAGTAGGATTTTAAAGAAAAATAATGCCATGATTTGTAATGCAGAGCGATTCTGATTACACTCAGTGATTGCAGAAATATTCCTGTTCCTTATTGTGTTGCTGGATTACAGACTAAGCAGATCCAGTGAAATGTACCCACGTAATAAATGTAGTCATTGTAATGCTATGTGTTGCCTGTGGTTCTGAATAGTTTAAACTCTGATGGGGGGGGGGAGGGGAACATACTGACGTAAAATGGTTATCCTAGAAGGAACTCATACACTCCTAGCTGGAGCTGTGTAACATGATACCACTAGAGAGATGAATGATGACGTCAGTCCAACCGAAGCTATTGTAGTTATTCTTGACTATATGGTGCTACTCTGCCCTCTACTGGCAAAATGTACACTGCATACTTTGAGTGGCCTTTGCAAACCCAGAGCAAATAAATTAATAAATGGGAGAAAAAAAAAAAAAAGAATAAGTCTACTATTTATTCTTCCGAATAAAATAAATATGCGGAGGCCAACATGCTGTCAGCATTTAAGAGTAGAATTTATAGCAACTTGTACAAGCAACAAATTACATTTTCATTAAAAGATAAATAATTGGATGTTTATTGATGTGCAAAGGAATATTGTTATATTCATCAGAACCCGTTTTTTTCTGTTTGTTTATTTTTTACAGCTAACTAAAAAGTTGTTGAACCTTTACTGTGGCGCAGACAGAATTTCAGGTCGATAACAAGAATTCAACATACCAACTCCCAAAGGTTCTACGGTTTGCTTCATAACAGAAAAGTTACACTACACCACTTACAGTTGTTATTAAAAGGTAAACAGGATTATAAAAAATGTGACAATCATTTAAAATTCTTTGAACATTATTGTGTAAACATGCAGCAGGAAAAGGATGTCATTCAGCGCTGTTCAGATTGAGTGAAGTCAAAAACATTTAAGTTGCACTGCACTCGTATCTACAGCTAATACCCTTTATAGTTCTCAAATTTCATTTCCCCTGTAATTTGAATACTTTATTTAGAGAACCCCTTTCAAACACACAAAGAAAATGTTCACCTGCAATAATGGTGGTCGCTTGTCTCCGAACATTATTCTTGTCTGTGTATTCGCCATAGTCAATTTTTCCTTCTACATATATACGTGCGCTAACAGAGGAGAGACAACAATTCATTAAAAATATTATTGAGAGTGTGTGTTGGTTCTTTAATGCTTTAAAGTGACATACAGCTTATAATATATCTCCCTTACATCCCTTCTGCCCCAAATATAAAATTCAGATGAATTCTAGTCTATTTAAAATTTATATGTATTTTGTGTACATACTAGAATAGGTCTGAATATTAAATTTGGGCGGAAGGTATGTAAATATTATTGTATCAACGAACAATGAATTACATGTATTAATTTTTTTTCCAGTCTTTAACTAAAAGTACATTTATTCTGTACATATGGCAAATAATCTATTAAAATAAACAGAATAACATTGCCATACAATGCTGAAGGTGAATTACATTTTAAAAGTATTAGATAGATAGTACATTAAAACAATATGAAACAACAGACTAAAAAAATGTAACAGAATAAAAAAAAAGTTCTGCATTTGCTGCAAAGCTCAAGGCTGTGCTGGATTTTTAATAAGCTCTGCTTAAATCATGAAGTCACTGATGGTCACTTATTTTTTTATAGCATTGTTGAGCTTATTTCATAGACAGTGCTTTATGAGCGGAAAGTTGCATTCACAGGGCAGTTTTTCACTACAGAAGCCAACAGCTTAACTACAACCAAAAGAAACTCCATGACATCATGTGCAGTAAGAGTGGGACGGAGAGGCACAAAATAATAGTTTTATTGCACAAACCTAATTAATTTATAAGAAAGGAAAAAAAATACCCAGCATAACGATGACCTAACATGCATACTGCGCCTAATACGTATGCATGTGTGGAGTGACCAATTAATGTTTTAGATTATATCTTTGTGCTGCTGGCAGAGAGAAAAAAAACCGAAATATTCTTACTGCAAAGAATGAGTTTGCATCTGTGTCCTCCCGCTATTGTAAGTGAATGCACAAGGAGTGGGAGAGTACGAATGTAAAAGTAGCAGGAAGTGAAAGCGATTTTGCTAGGACAGTGCAATGACTAGATTTTATAACTAACCTGAGCAGTTCTATTGTAAATTTACATATAACAGTTATGTAAATAAATCAAATGGTAATGCTGCTTTACAAATGAAAAGACTTTAAACGTGCACAATTGTTAACAGCAATATGGGCATAATGCACAGATCAGATCTTATAAGAACACTATAGTATGTCATGCTTTATAATCAAGCGAAGCAGTTAAAGGGACACTGAGCACCGAAACAACATATTTGCACCTGCCGTCTCACTGCTCAACTATCTGTCATGTAGGGCTTAAATTACTTAGTTTGTGCAGCCATATCCACTTCCCCTGACTGTGAATCGCACAGCCTCCACGAAACAAACAAACAAACAAAAAAAAAAGGTTTAATTTTCAAACCCACAGTGTTATGTATAAAAAGTGTTCTCAAATGTAGTCTAAAGTACTACAAGTGAGGCAGTTACCATGGAAACCAGTGGAACCTGTAGACACATTGCACTTATTGGGGAGGAAGTATAGGAACTAAGTGAATGCTGTCACTCCACTCAGTTGCTGGCATGTTGGTGTCATGTAGAAGATTTTCCATGCTTGAGGAAAGGGAACCCAAGTAGAGCCAATCGAACGAGAGCATGGGTGGAGCACAGGTTGACCAGAGGTGGGTGTTTGTTTTACCCCTTCTACTTACAACTGTTAATTTAGTTGTTTAAATTAAGCAAAACTTGCAAGTTTCCATTATTAAGCTGAAAAGAAATTCCAACTCATGCAGCTTTAAGAAACCACAGAGCCTTGCCTTACCCTTTCTTGACATTCTGATAAGCCACATCCCGGAGGCCTGGCCGGAAAATTGATATTCTGTGCCATGTGGTCTTTTGGTTAATGTCTCCAGCTGTTTGAGAAGAAAGATTAAAAAATAAATAATCGCCGTGACACCAGCACAAGGAACATTCAGTGACAAACAACATGTGTTAGTTCAAATTATTCCCTATCCCACATATTTTGTCCCAAATAAAAAGCCACATCTTCCAGGTTAACAGTAGAAACTGGAAGAAAACATCATATACACACAAAAAGAACTTATAAGACTCTTCATTTTAAACTGTGTGTAGCGTTTATTGAATGTTGTAAGAGGGTCGGGTTAATTCTTATTTACAATTCAACAGACATCATGGAGGCCACTGTAAAAAAACAAACAAAAAAAAACAAAACACCATATGACATACAGGTGGTTCTCACTTTACAACGGGGGGATCGACCGCCTCCCATGAACAGCAGCACACCAGGCAGGATAAGCCTAATGCTCGGACTGTGAGTTCCCGTCGGATCAACTTCAAGGTTACTTCCTCGAGTACCCACTCGGCATGGTGTTGGTCCACTGTGAGTTCAGGCAGATCCAAGTGCGATTACAGCGTTCACAGCTTAAATTAAACACAAGTGCGCAGGAGCTGAGATGGAACACGTCCAGCCATCTTGGCAGTCAGGCCCCGCCAGCAGGCAGTATCTTAATTACACTCCATAGGTTCTCCTTAACCAGGCAGGTATACATGAGCTTCTTTATGTTTCTGGGGGCTGCGTTTAACCCACACTCCCAGATGCAACTGTAAAGGAGGCAGTTTAAGCATCCTTCTCCCCTACTTAACTGCTGTGAAGCCTCTCAACTGCTCTCTGTAATCTCCTCCTTCAGCCTCCATCAATGGTCTAACTCAGCAACTCTTACACTCTTCATATTTTCACCAGTCTCAGTACCACCTCTAATCTATCTAGTGCTTCATTTCCACTATCTGCCATCCATCTGCTGACCTTTGACATTGGCATACCTTGTACCCAAATTATACCACTCTCTGTACATCAGCAATGCAGAAACCTCCATTGTCTTTACATACAGCGATTCTCCACCAACCTCCAAACGCTCCTTTGACCTATCTCAAACCTCACATGCCCTTGCTCTGGAACCTCCCCTTACATCTCCACCCTCTCAACTAGACATCATGGCACCTCCTACATGCAAGCTCCCCAGACTACAATCTTGGCATACCAAGTTAACCTGATACCTCAAAAAATGCTCCAGAACTGCATCTGATTTCCTCCACTATAAATTCATGCTATGCTCGTACAGCTTTGCTCTTTCATCTGCAAAAGAAAACGACTTCAATACCCTCATAGCCACAACCTCCCACAAATGCAAATGCCTCTTTCACACTTAACTCTTTTCTTCGCCCTGTGGTTGCTGCTGCTCCTACAGAACCTGACCGATACGAACTTTGCTACACTGAGATTTCTGCAATCACGAAAGAGATCTCTAATATCTATCCATTCCCTACCAATACTCCCCCCCCCCTGTTTTATGCTCACTTGCAACCACTACAACAGAAGAGGTTTCTGCTCTTCTTTGGTCATCCTGGCCCACCACCTGTTTCCTTGATCCTAGTCCCTCATATCTCATTCACACCCTCTCCTTCTTCTCTTTCACTGCACTCCAGTGTGTTTCCCACCAAGTAAATGGCACTACCATCAGCTCTACCTCACAGGCTCGCTGCCTAGGTGTTCTCTTTGACTCTGACCTCTCCTTCACCCCTCATATCTACTCAGTCACCAAATCCTGCCCTTTCCATCTCATGACCATAGTGCGCATCCATCCCTATTTAACGCCGCATGTGGCTAAGGTGCTGATCCATGCCACTAAACGTCTCTTGCCTTGACTACTGCAATCCGCTTCTCAATGGTCTTACGTGTTTCAAACTGTCAGTCCCTACATTGGCTTCCCATTAGATATAGTGTTTGATTTAAAATTCTGGTACCTGCTTACAAATCTCTAAATAATACTGTTGGAATAGATACCAGCCTGGGGGACAGTAGCTCAATACAAATCTGGTGTATTTACAGTAATGGAACACACATGGTTTGTAAAATTTCTCATAAATTTAAAAAGTGTGAGAAGAGAAATGTCTATTTAGAAACTCTGTGGGATTCACCATTTTGTGTAAGTTGGGGTACGACCCTGTGACTTTGTTTATGTCTAGTATAGTGAATACGAAGGTAAAGTGGCAACATATAGAATATATATATACAAAACATGGGGAAACACAAAGAATATATAGGATAATATATATGTGAAAGGATTATAGAACACGTGAGCAAAATGTCTATGATACGGTTATTTAAAAAAAAAAAAAATTTTTTGCCCAACCAAAATTTTCATTTTTTGTTTCGTATAACCACTTCACAACAACACTTATGTGCACACAACTGACCGGCTACGGAACCATACCACACAATGGTGTAGAAACTACTAGTATGATTGCAAATTTGTTAATTAATTCTCTTTGCACATTATGACATAACTACAATCAGAAAACTCAAAAGGCAGCAGCATAGCGAGCCGCGACACTGCAAGCCTCTGAACAATTAATACAGAGACTAACTCTCTGTATCCAATGCTGCAAGCCCATCCTTCAATATAACTACAGGCCTGGCAAAGCCTAAAGTCGCCACTGATCCTTAGCACTGCAAAAGTTTGAGAACTAAATTTTCGATCAAGCTTTGTAACTATCCAAACTCAAAAGTTCAAGATGTACATTCATGGCTTAATGTCACAACACACAGCCAAACACTTTAACAGCATATCCATAGTGTTGCATGTCATTTTGTGGTTAAAGGAATGTATTTGCACGTAGTGCCTGTGTCTGTAATTGGAGTAATGTATTCACCTGTTTGGAACACCTCACTCTCTCCTGACCGCCACAGCTCATTGGTTGCTAGAGAGAAAATGGTCACAGGATTCTTCCCTTCTGCTTGCCTCATGACTGGGTCCTGCCCCACTCGACCAAGAAGCTGCACCCTGTTCAAAGCTGAAATTACAGAGATTTCAGAACAAAACAAACAATAATTGTATATATGTATTTCAAAAAAATATTGATCACCCAGCACATGTCAAGATTTTAGTCTGTACTTAGAGCATATATCTCAATAAACAGTAGTCTGCCTCATTGTGGTCCAAAGTGATAGTGATGAAACAGTGTATCTTGCTTATATAACAAACAAAATCTAAGGGAGGCTAGATGTTAGAGGAAGTATAGGCCATGTAAACACCAGAAGAAGATATGTGGTCTTTATTAAGGTTTAGAGTTTTTTTTAATATAAATGTAATTATTTTTTCCAGGAACATATGCATATATTAGGTCTGATTCATAATACCCGTGCAACTTATAGCCCATTTATGCATATATTATTCTTTATGCTACTCAGGTCCAGACAATTTTTGTTTTTTATTACTAATTTTCTAAAACAAAACACACATTTTTAAAGTGCTTATTTGATGAATGTTTATGTTCTATAGACCGCTATATGCTTAAAAAGTATATACCGTCATTTACATCTTATGTAAAATTTTAACTTTGCCTTTATATACAAAAGGTTCATGCTATTTGCATCACTTATGTAAAACACTAACAACTACTGCTAATAACAACCTCTCCATCAAGGCACTACAGTTATTTATTGGAATGTGTCCTGCAACATTGAATTTCACATGCTAAAGGCAGCATATTTCTTGGAACAATCTGTTCATCAAGCAACTGCACACGGACTAGTGGCATTAGATCTGCTATATTGTTCGTTGACTTTTACATTGACCCTATGAGTTTTCCTTACTGCTTTAGAGTGTAGCCAAACTATATTCACTGCCTACCTTATTGTGTTTGTTTCAAGGTGTTAAACTTGCTTTTTTTAGTGTTGTTTAATAAATGTCATACATTCTATAGGCAGATTATATTTACAACTTTATTAGGGCTACTCAGTTTCTTTCATCTGTAGAATACTGATAACAATGTGTTGTATTGACAGGGATCAAACTAATGTCAATTAAACAAACAAATACAGTATAAATCCTGCAACAAGTGATTAGAACTTTTGATAAAAATCTGTAAAAATAACCAGAGCTCCAAACTTTATTTTTTCAGTGTGCGCATGACTGGTGACAAAATAGGGCAGTATAACTAAGGTGCATATTTACCAAACAACGAAGTCCCTCATAGGAATTCCTTTTCAGCAGTGTAAACACCAATAGAAGATGCAAAACACATGTACACAGGAATCTGTCATTAAAGGACCACTATAGGCACCCAGGTCCAGCTAGGATTAACACTTTTTTCTATAAACACTTTTTTCTATAAACATAGCAGTTTCAGAGATGTTTATAATAGGGTTAATCCAGCCTCTAGTGGCTGTCTCATTGAAAGTCGCTAGAGGCGCTTCCGCGCTTCTCACTGTGAAAATCACAGTGAGAAGACGCCAGCGTTTATAGGAAAGCATTGTGAATGCTTTCCTATGGACTGGCTGAATGTGCACACGGCTCCTGACGCGCATGCACATTCAGCCGAGGAGGCGAGAGTCCCCCGCCCGGCGCTGGAGAAAGAGGTAAGTTTAACCCTTTCCTCCCCCTAGAGCCCGGCGGGAGGGGCACCCTAAGGGTGGAGGCACCCTCAGGGCACTATAGTGCCAGGAAAACGAGTATGTTTTCCTGGCACTATAGTGGTCCTTTAAGGAACAGTCATACTCATCCAATGATTGCTTGGATTATCTGCTGGAAAACCATAATGATTGCCGCTATGAGCCTCATTTCTGAGATTGCTATTTATAGAAGAAGATTGTGATGGTTGACATCACAATCTTCTTCTATAAATGTCTGTAATGGATCACCTGGCACCCCGACTGGGTAACTCCATTGCTCCTAGCGCTTACAGAGGGCTCCAAGCGCTCCTAGCGCTTACAGAGGGCTCCAAGCGCTCCGCAGACACCACAACCACCGCAGACCCCACGAACTGCTGCAGCTTGGTTGGGGTCTCGCCGTCTCCTACCCACCCTGGACCTACGACAAGGCTCCAGGTTCCAGTGGGTGAACCTCTCCTCCAAGAGAGTGAAGCAGGAACAAGCTCTTAAAAGAGCTTAGTAGTGATTAGCTAAGGGAGTATGCAGAGCATCCCTTGTAGTGATGTAGCAATTCCCCCAGGACTCTAGATTGAGGGTGAAGAAGAACTGACTGTACTGGCACATACAGCCTCTTTTATTCACATTCTACAAACATAGTACTGCCCATAGGGTTTTCAAATACAACCAATCAATCCGTACAATACACAGACACTCCCACACAAAATCCTCCCCTCTGCCTGTGATATGATTACTGAATGCAATGGTTAATATAATTATCACAGGCAGAGAAATACAGTATTATAAAACATATCACAGGGACCCCAAAACATGCAATAACCCCATAAAAAAAAATCATCGGAACCGGGGGATCTGGGTGAACCACATATCCAAAATTCACCCAGATCCGTTCAGTAGTTTGGAAGATACGGTTTAATGCAGATTCCACAGAACATATACAGGCTATATGAAAAAAATTACTGTTAAAGGAACACTATAGTCACCTAAATTACTTTAGCTAAATAAAGCAGTTTTAGTGTATAGATCATTCCCCTGCAATTTCACTGTTCAATTGACTGTCATTTAGCAGTTCAATCGCTGTTTCTGTTTATGCAGTCATAGCCACACCTCCCCTGGCTATGATTGACAGAGCCTGCATGAAAAAAAAACTGGTTTCACTTTCAAACAGATGTAATTTACCTTAAATAATAGTATCTCAATCTCTAAATTGAACTTTAATCACATACAGGAGGCTCTTGCAGGGTCTAGCAAGCTATTAACATAGCAGGAGATAAGAAAATCTTAATTAAACAGAACTTGCAATAAAGAAAGCCTAAATAGGGCTCTCTTTAGAGGAAGTGTTTATGAAAGGCTGTGCAAGTCACATGCAGGAAGGTGTGACTAGGGTTCATAAACAAAGGGATTTAACTCTTAAATGGCAGAGGATTGATCAGTGAGGCTGCAGGGGCATGTTCTATGCACCAAAACTGCTCATTAAGCTAAAGTTGTTCAGGTGACTATAGTGTCCCTTTAAATGTGTCCCCTGTTCTGTAGTTTAAAACTACTATACGATGTCTTTGTGCACCAAATACCGGCGAGATGGCACTGTGTAGTAAAGTCAAAACAGTGTCTGTGAGTTAAAATGGCCGCCATCCATTGTTCTCACCATGTGCTTCATCCATTGTTCTCACCATGTGCCTCTGATACATGAAATGGTGGCCACCCAGTAACTCCACAGTATGTCCCCAGATGGTTCTTAAAGGGCCAGCAGCAGCATAATAAAATACAATATGCCCAAATCAGTTCCTAGAAGAGCAATACATCCCAGGGCCATAGTCGCAGGGCAGGAGGCTGGCAAACAGACCCCTCCAAAAACCAGTGGCGATGTCACTTTCGCCACAATGGCAATCTCAGAAATGAGGATGAAAAGCGTTGTTGAAAAGATATAAACATCTTTCCAAAATAAAGAACAGAAACTAATGAACATACCTGCTCATTATTAACTCCAAAACATTTAATATACTCACATCTTTCCAAAACCATGGATGAAGAGTCAACTGATGAATGTCTTACAAGCTGCCGGAGCAGCTGAAAAAGAAACACAACATGTATGTAATATAAATAATGATTGTAATAAATCCAATTTCATTAAAGATGCAAGATAATAAATCCAATTTCATTAAAGATGCAAGTATAATGAGAATGTAAAAAATATGTAATTTAAGGGACACTCTAGTCACCAAAACAACTTTAGCTAATGAACCAGTTTTGGTATATAGATTATGCCTCTGCAGTCTCACTGCTCAATTCTCTGCCATTTTGGAGTTGTTTTGGTGACTATGGTGTCCCTTTAATTCAAAGAGTGTGTAGATATGGTACCAAACCACTCTGATTTGGACTGTGTAGTTCCCAGAAAGCAGTATAATGGTCTTACTTTCTAAGCACAATATGTCCCAGATAAAGCAAGGCAAGTGACTAGCACGCCTTTGTTCAAGTAGGAATGAACTTAGATTCTTAACTGCTTCTAGCTCCTATGACTAATGAAGGTAGTCTTGCATATATAAGGATATGCATATTGTGGCTTGTATTACAAGGCCAAGCTCTACAGCTATTGACTTCCAACCAGTATTCATACCTGAATTAATTATTCCCCTTAATCTTCTGCCAGCATCATGCTCCACTAATTCGACAATCAGGTCTGACCTCTTTAGTAAGTGTAGTTTAAAAGTTACGTTTTAAAAGGTATACTTGAGGCTGGAGTTCCAGCAACATTCTAAAGATTATGCATTACTAAATATAAAAATATATCTTGAAAGAGCTGATGTCCCTCAATCAGACTTGATCCATTGCATTAATGCAATACCAAACTTCTCCAACATACCTCTACTGTTGGCCTGCGGAACATCATCTGCGATTTATCTCACGTGCTTTACTTTGAATATTCAATGTCTGGAAGAAATGTCAGAAAAGGTTGTTTTTTTCTTTAAGAAAACTAATTTTTTTTTAATTTTATTTATTACTGGGATTTATAAAGTGCCAGCATATCTGGCAGCACTGTACAATTAGGGGAGAACTTACAATTCCGTCGGCAGCAGCAAATACAAAAGGTAACAATGACCCTACCCACGAGCTGAGATCTAGCCATTGAAGCTCTTTTAAGTAAAGTGTTTCGTTAGATAGCATGTGTGCTTACAATCTAAAGGTAAATAGTAACATTTAGACATCCCAGCCTTAGTAGAGGATGCCCTAATAAAAGGGCACATTGCCCTTATATTAAAATGCATTACAATAAAAATAAATGTTTCATATATTAAAAGCTGTTTGGTTATATAATAAAACAAGCGGAAGGTTTAAAGAACCACTCAGACCACTTCATCTCAAGAACTGCAATGTTTATATTGTTGGATTAAATACACCTATACTGGCTGTCATACTTGCAGAAGACGTCAGCAGGTATGCTGACGTCCTCAAAAGTGGAGTAGGCGGCTGCAGCAGAGTCTTCCCAGCGATGGAAAGTAAAGAAGTAATCATTATTTAACTTTTTTTTAATAGCAAAGGGGGTGGACAGAGGGGAACCTATAGAATAAGGAGGATGGTCCGGGAACTCAGGGGTAACTTAAATGAGAGACTTAATGAAATATAGTGTAACAAACAAGCAGCAATGTTTTAACCTTGAACCGGGGTGTTTGTCAAGATTGACAAAGACCTCCGTTACAGGTTGAAACTCTGCTGCTTGCTTGTTAAACTATTGCATTAAACCTGCCTTTTGAGTTACCTGTCAGTGCCTGGACCATCCTTGTTCTTCTACCATTGCCTGGAGATTCTGCCAACCTCGGCTCGGTTTGTACCTTGTGGTTTCTACGTGGAGGAGTGCGGTTCCTGTCTTTTTTGAAACAAAAAAAGGGACCAGTAGACATAAAAAAAATTGTTATTTTTGAGACTGTAGGTTTCCTTTGTGCACAAACTTGTTTTCATTATTGTCAAAGCTTAAGAGTTATTAAATGTGTTGATTACAAAGCAATACACAGCAAGGGTATGCTACATGGAATTCTTATATTCAGTAATAAGGAAATAAAGACAGCTTTCGTAAAATGGTCAGTCCAAGCACCACAAGCACTTTACAGACATGTAATCTTTCTTAATTACCGGTAAATGTTCTATTTTAACTCATTATCTTTCTTAAAGCGGCTCTGTCATTTTCTGGGGTCTTGCCTATTTTGCAAAGACCCCTCATAGTGACATCGCTGCTTTGTGTGTGCTTTCCAGGGGGTGATACTACAGGTGAGATATACAGGCCCTTTCTTCAACTCCGGTCTCCTTCTGTCAGGAGGCAATGTCAGTGCTGTAGTCTTAGATCTTCTCTATGGAGGATCCTGTAAGAGCCACCATAGATATTATCTCACAATATGCGTAATAACTCATTATTGCTCCTGTCGTCGCCAATGACAGGTGAAGGGCCAAAACTTGATGACAGTAGCTCCCCATTTAGTCAAGAGTAGGAACAAAACTTAGGGAAAAAAATATTCTCTGCTCTGTTTCATGATATTGTTTGACAGCATTGGTATTGCAATGAAATTTCAACACAAGCTCTTTTACATTTCATATGTTGTTTTACATTTCATATGTTTATTTTAGGGAATGTGAGGTAACAGAGTCACTTTTAATCATTAAGAAACATATAGTCAAATTTTAAGCAAACATTCCCTTGTTTAATGTCATTTTGTGGAAAAATTATCAAGTGGAAGAATTACTCAATTTCAGAACTCACCCTAAAACGAGTTTACACATAAATGGTAACATTCCAACCTTAGAACCCCATAATATGTATTATTCAGTCTCTAACCTAGAACACCGAACTTAAACAAAAATGCATTAAAGTTCGGTGTTCTAGGTGTAACTGCATTGCAAGAGATCAACATAAAATAAAGTAACAGCAGTAAAACTGTAGCTATCACAGATTTAACTATGCTGTCAGGAGTTCATAAATCCTAATAGCTGGAATGAGCCCTGCAATTAGTATCAGTATTCATCCATTCACCTTACCAGGGTCACTGTACTGCATACACGTGAGCATCAATAATGGAAAGACACACTGTAACACAAGTCAAAGCCACTTCCGGCAGCAGACTAGCACTTCAGCCCCACTTCCGTCGGCAGCAGCAAAACACTTCCGCCCCACTTCCGGCAGCATTAGGAGTTCTCGAATTATTTCCGGTACTTTGACTTTCTCTGCAGTAGGAAGAGGTGCAGGCAGACAGCACACCATGTATTACTCCTCCTTTTTAGGTGGATGGATGCAAATAAAGATTAATATTTTGTTTACTATTCAATCTGGCAGGTGCTAGCAGTAATATGATGCAATAAAGTAATGCCCTGCGTGGTTTAATGGGTTAGGCATGTGCTTGCAATAATATCTGATTTACAGAGTCACAGGTTAGCGTTAACATAGGTGCATTTGCAGGTAATGTATAGTTAAGATTTTTTTTCCCTTTGTTGCGCATTCAAATATTTACTCGTGTAGTGAAGACTTTCTGTGTTCCATGGTAATTTGTAAATATAAACTGAGAACAAGTGGCTAGTTTGGCTGTGGGTACATAATGCCATTTCTGGAAAGTACACCATTAAATATCACCTAAGACTTAATAACAATTTTCCTTTGTGCATTTACCATAACCACTCCAGAAAGTGTGTGCAACTCTTAAATATTAACTGTCATCTCCGGCTCTACATTTAAAATAAGTTTTATGAGGTATGAAAAATTAAATTAAAAGGTAAATTAAAATGATTTAATTTTTCATACCTCATAAAACTTATTTTAAATGTAGGGCAGGAGATGACAGTTAATCTTTAAGAGTTGCACACACTTTCTCGAGTGGTTATGGTGGCATGTTACTCAGGCACACTTCCATGGTAAGCAGTATAAACAGCCTAACAGGTACCTGTTTTTTGTAGGGTTATACAGTCCTTCTCTCTGCACTCATCTGCTAAAGTGGAAATTCATACCTCAGCTTTAGATAGTATTCATTAGCTATGAGCGTCAGCTGATGCCATCAGAGAGTGGATTTTGGTGTAAGATAGAGCAGAGATGTATGAAGGTTTGTTCAGCACCATTTTTCCAATTCCACTGTCAGCCAAGGGTTGCTGAGGTGACAATCTATTGTGGCCATATAATCTAATTCTGTAGTTGTAGAATTCTATATTGTTTTTTCCCTAAAAATCCTTTCCATTTGTACCAGTTTGATGATTGATGCAACAGTAAAACTTTTTTCCCCAGATATATCCATGGCAGTACTACGTATGGGTATAGCTCCTCCCCTTCTCAATTGAACAGGAACACCTCCTAAATAAAAGAGACTCGCTCCTATACCCCCTCAGTTTTTTTTCCTGTCCACTTCTCATGGACAGTGGAAGTTACATCTCCTAAAAAAATTTATATTGTGACTTATTCGGGTGTAATTGTACCCCTGGCCCATGGGGAGTTCAGCCTCTCTCCCCATAGAAGCCTCAGGACACGGGGCCTCACCAAAGGCGACCCCCTGGAGGATTCTCCCCTTTGCGACCGGGGAGTTATGCTGCAGTGACCCTATAGGTAGCAGCTGGATGTGCCAGACCCATGGAGGTGGTAATTCCCGCAGATGGGTTCACCTACTTGCTGCAAAAAAATTGGGCTTCTTGGCTTTCCCAATAAAGATGGCCTGTCCTATCCTCATGATGTAAGTGGCAGTGGATTCAGAACTTACCTGACCGGGGTGGACTCCTTTTTCCTTGTTGCTGATCCATTCCGGTCGTGGAACGCCGATATCACTAACACTTCCGTGTTCGGCACTTCCGGTTCTTTCTGCCTGTCTTTTCCCTCTCTCCAGTACTGGAACGCACGCCAGAGTAAGGCCAGCAGCATGGGGATTTACTTCCGGGTTCGGCACCCTATATTTAAAGGATAAGAACCTCTATTCTGACAGTATGCTGTTTTATATCTCTGCATACCTGGATTGAACTTCTGTGTTCTGGCTGCAGATAAGTGACATTTCTTTTCCTTTTTATTATAATTTTCTCTATTCCCCAGTCCTTTTTTCAAAGTAATAAACTTGGTTGCTGGAAATTCTAATTTTATTTTCTAGCTGCCCATACTATGGATTCCCCCGGTCAGGCTTCAAGAAATAGGTCGCAATCTAGAAGTTCTAAGTAAGTCACTGTAAAAAATTTTAAAATCACAATACTTATAAGAAAGAAAAAAAAAATTAGTGCATTTCAGCCTTCTGACAGGAGGATTTTCAGTTCTGCCCACAGATCCTCATACAAGAAAAAGAAGGATAAGACCCCCTTATGTGAAGCTTGTGACGACAAGGTGCTTCCTGGGAAAAGGCTCTGCTTAGCTTGTCTTAAAGCAGCGGCAGGCCATGCTGAACCGGATCCAGATGTTCTTTCTTACATCCGTCAAGCAGTTTCAGAGGGTCTTTGGCAGTCAAAGAAAAGATGTAGATCTTTTAGATCAGAGGAATATGCTGACTTAAGCTCTGACGAATATATGCCCACGGTATTTGAGCAAGACGAGTTGTCATCTCAAGATGAAGAGTATGGGGCCTCTCAGCATGAAAATAGAAGCTTTAATCAAGGCAGTTCGTGATACCTTGGAGCTTAATGATAAGAGAGAGGAGGAACCAGCTTCTAGTAAGCATTTTGCTGACCTGAGAAGCGCAATCCTACTTTCCCATTGCATGAGACCATCGAGGACCTCATTAAAGGACCACTATAGGCACCCAGACCACTTCAGCTTAAAGAAGTGGTCTGGGTGCCAGGTCCATCTAGGGTTAACCCTGCCTGCTGTAAACATAGCAGTTTCAGAGAAACTGCTATGTTTACATATGGGTTAATCCCGCCTCTACTGGCTGTCTCATTGACAGCCGCTAGAGGCGCTTCCGCGCTTCTCACTGTGATTTTCACAGTGAGAAGACGCCAGCGTCCATAGGAAAGCATTGTCTATACTTACTCTTACATTGAAAACTGTTCTGTTGGTTGCCTTGACCTCAGGTAGAAGAATCTCCAAGCTAAGCGCTCTCTCCTGTGAGTCTCCCTTTTTGATTCTTCAGGAAGACTGAGTGATCCTTTGTACGATTCCAGCTTTCAGACCCAAGGTGGTTTCTGCTTTCCATATGAATCAGGACATCATTTTGCCAGCCTTTTTCCCTCATCTGAAGAGGAGGAGAAATTACATTGTTTGGACCTGGTGTGATGTTTATCTACATACCTGAACCGTACTTCAGATATAAGGAAGACATCTAGGCTGTTCATTATTCATTCAGGTTACAAGAAGGGTCAAGCTGCTTCTTCGACTTCGGCCGATGGTTCATCTCAGCCATTTGTCAGGCCTACACAGCTTCCGGAGTTCCTGTCCCTCAGGGCCTTCGGGCTCATTCTACCAGATCTTTGGCCGCTTCTTGTGCAGCTGCAGCCAACATTTCCGCGGACCGCATTTGTTCGGCAGCAACATGGTCCTCCTTCAACACGTTTATCCATCACTATCAGTTGGATATAGCTCGTTCATCTACCACAGAATTTGGTAGAAGTGTCCGATCTGCTGCCTTATAGTTTATGGATCAATAAACCGTGTTTGCATGGATTTATACGTTGTGGTTATTATTCTCCCTCCCTTACTCCTTTCAGCTTGGGTATAATACGTAGTGCTGCCATGGATCCGGGGAAAGCAGAAAATTTATGCCATACTTACCGATATTTTCTTTTCCCGGATATATGCCATGGCAGCACTGTGATCCCACCTTCTTCTAAAAATATATGTTGTTTTGTAGCTTTAAACTAAGACTGATGGGGTATAGGAGGGAGTCTCTTTTATTTAGGAGGTGTTCCTGTCCAATTGAGAAGGGGAGGAGCTATACCCATATGTAGTGCTGCATGGCATATAACCGGGAAAAGAAAATATCGGTACGTATGGCATAAATTTTCTGTTATATTTTTCTTAGGCATTATGCAATGGATATTGTCAGCAGTGTAAAAGAAAGGAAGGAAACCGCGCCTTATATTATACATACATACACTTGGTATCCCTTAATTGGTGTAGATAATTTATCCTCAAAAAAAGAACACAAAGAGAAAAATACAATAGTGCAGTATGTTGTAACAAATTGAGAACGGAGGTGGTATATAAAGCAGAGGTATTTTAAACTCACATTTGGTAGAGCTAATCAGGAGCTCTACCGTAATTCGCACGGACGGTACAATCCCCGTCTCAGGATAAGAAGCCCGAAGTCATCAATACTCCATTAATATGGTGACGTAGATGGGATGAAAAAAAGAGAGAGAAACTCCAATGGTGTAGCAACTCTGACTCCAAATATAGAGGAAATAAATGAAAGTAATTATACTCACATTTGCTAGAGCAGACAACTTGCTCTAGTATATAAGGCTTGCAGTGGTATAATCCCCAATGAATGGGAATGACTTCCTGGTGTGTCGTGGAACACAGCAGTAATGGGAGATTTCTACAGTTGCTAGAGAAAAATGTGAGTGAGCCGTGGGAAATTGAAAACCTCTATGAGAATGGCCTGGTATAATCTATAAGCAGGTGACAGTACAGAAGGCTATAGCCATCTTGCAGCACCAATTCTACTGCTGTAGTTAAAGAGGCACTGTCATGCCGAACTTACCTTTCCTCAATCTCTTCCTCTTCTCCCCCTCTCTCAGGATCTGTTCTTCTTTTCTTCCTGTCTTCTTTAGTTTTCTTTAAAATCATAAGACAAAGTAGAGACTCTTTGCCTTATGGAGGATTCTTCCGCTTGACCAGCTCTGACCAGCGGAGGAGCAACGTGTGCTTCATTTCCGCTGGTCAGAGCAATTTTCCCATAATTCTTACCTTTCCTCTGTGTTCCCACGATGCTTCCTGTCATTTTACACGAAACTGCCGAATTGCGTTCTAACTGAATGAGAACAGTATGTTCGTTTCTTTTAGAACGCAATTCGGCACTTTATTCGGATCGCAATTTCATTCGAATGAATGAAACTCCGATCCTATTCGTGCTGTGGCTGCATCTTGCAGCCGCTTAGTAGATAACTCCCTAATTCCCACGGTAACAGGGAGCTATCTACTAAAAGGCTGAAAGACCTAAATTGGTCTTTCAGCCACATTTACTAATACTAAGTAAAAATTACTTAGTATTAGTAAATGCTGCCCCTACTCGCTATACCTCGAGTAGGTGCATGTCTAGTAAACAGTCTAGTAA